ACTATAAATGCTTATATCTATATGCCAATCGTTAGTTCTTCGTTAGTTCTCGATAGTTCTCCAATATTTGCGTTAGTTCTCAAAAAATGAAAAAGTTACGAAGCATAAAAAGTGGGTACGCCAACTTCACAATTATAGAATTTCCAGCGGGCACAGTTTTCTAAATAAAATTCCTTATATCTATATACCAATCGTTAGTTCTTCGTTAGTTCTCGATAGTTCTCCAATATTTGCGTTAGTTCTCAAAAAATGAAAAAGTTACGAAGCATAAAAAGTGGGTACGCCAACTTCACAATTATAGAATTTCCAGCGGGCACAGTTTTCTAAATAAAAATGCTTATATTTATATACCAATCATTAGTTCTTCGTTAGTTCTCGATAGTTCTCTAATATTTGCGTTAGTTCTCAAAAAATGAAAAAGTTACGAAGCATAAAAAGTGGGTACGCCAACTTCACAATTATAGAATTTCCAGCGGGCACAGTTTTTTTAAATAAAAATGCTTACATCTATATACCAATCGTTAGTTCTTTGTTAGTTCTCGTAAGTTCTCCAATATTTACGTTAGTTCTAAAAAAAAAAATTAAAAAGTTACGAGGCATACAAAGTGAGTACGCTGACTTCAAAATTATAAAATTTCCAGCGGGCACCGTTTTCCGACTAAAAACGCTTAAATCTATATTCCAATTTTTAGTTCCATGCATTGTAATTTGATTCATCTTCACACAATGAAAATCAAAGTAACACTGACATTAGAATAACTATCAAATTATGATTCTCTCGAAGAGAAAGGATTGCTTATCAGTTCCAGGATAGCGCTTATCTGTGATATCCGCAATAGTAGTTGCAGGTGTCACTCGGTTAGATTATTTTTTAGGAGTGATAATTTTGATTACGTTATCAAAATGATTAACAGTTGAATATGTTCAGTTAATTAGAACATCCAAAAAAGACAACGCTTCCAAAAATTGGTTTTAGATAAGCAATGAAATCATATTTATACCTACTTAGTTGTGTGAAAAAGTGCATTTTATAAAAAGTCCATCATGGAAACAAAATAAACTATCCATCAAAATGAAAACCAGAGTCTGCTAAGTAAAATGGTATAAAGTAATTTATAAGCAGTGATTATTTGAATTGGATTAAGCAGATAAAATATGTACGATCAAAGAACTTCTGTTTGGTTAATTAAACTAATCGTTTGTATTGTTTGTATTTGTTTGTGTTCGGTATTAGTATTATAAAATTACATCATTAAACGTAACACGTAACGAGTGACAGTTGCACGGATCGAGACTGGAAGGTCATACGGACTTGAACAAACTGGAGACTGGAGTAGTGGATGGAATAAATGTGTACAACACATTACTATAAAAAAAAAAATAGCATGGCGTATTGGGTATGGCGGGGTCGAGACAATATTTATTTAGTTGTATAGTAGTATACTGTAAGCATTTTTCGTTGAATGAAGGTGCGCGCTGGAAATCAGAAGCATTAAATAAGTTTATCTATTGATTATTGGCTATACGTATATTTATTTAATTTTTTTAGAACTAACAAAATAAATGAGTGAGCCCATCTTACGATTAATATTAAGATATAGGCACTTTTAGTCAGACAAGGGTGCACGCTAGGAATGATTTGGGTTTGAGGTTGGCATAACCACGTTTAAGACCTTATTGCCTTTTTATTTATTAAGAACTAGTAATAATATTGGGGAACTAACACGACATAACGAAGAACTAAAAATTCGTAAATAGATATAAGCGTTTTTAGTAAGAAAACGGTGCCCGCAGGAAATTTTATAAATTTGAAGTCAGAGTACTCACTTTGTACGCCTTGTAACTTTTTTATTTTTTTGAGAACTAACGTAAATATTACAGAACTATCGAGAACTAACGAAGACCTAACGATTGGTATATAGATATAGGCATTTATAGTAAGAAAAAGGTGCCCGCTGGAAATTATATAATTGTGAAATTAGCGAACCCTCTTTGTATGCCTCGTAACTTTTTTATTTTTTGAGAACTAACGTAAATATTGGATAACTATCGAGAACTAACGAAGAACTAACGATTGGTATATAGATATAGGCATTTATAGTAAAAAAACTGTTCCCGCTGGAAATTGTACAATTGTGAAGTTAGCGTACCCACTTTGTATGCCTCTTAACTTTTTTATTTTTTGAGAACTAACGTTAATATTGGAGAACTATCGAGAACAAACGAAGAACTAACGATTGGTATATAGATATAGGCATTTATAGTAAAAAAACTGTGCCCGCTGGAAATTCTATAACTGTGAAGTTGGCGTACCCACTTTTTATGCTTCGTAACTTTTTTATTTTTTGAGAACTAACGTTAATTTTGGAGAACTATCGAGAACTAACGAAGAACTAACGATTGGTATATAGATATAGGTATTTATAGTAAAAAAACTGTGCCCGCTGGAAATTGTACAATTGTGAAGTTAGCGTACCGTACCCACTTTGTATGCCTCTTAACTTTTTTATTTTTTGAGAACTAACGTAAATATTGGAGAACTATCGAGAACTAACGAAGAACTAACGATTGGTATATAGATATAGGTATTTATAGTAAAAAAACTGTGCCCGCTGGAAATTCTATAATTGTGAAGTTGGCGTACCCACTTTGTATGCCTCTTAACTTTTTTATTTTTTGAGAACTAACGTAAATATTGGAGAACTATCGAGAACTAACGAAGAACTAACGATTGGTATATAGATATAGTCATTTATAGTAAAAAAACTGTGCCCGCTGAAAATTCTATAACTGTGAAGTTGGCGTACCCACTTTTTATGCTTCGTAACTTTTTTATTTTTTGAGAACTAACGTTAATTTTGGAGAACTATCGAGAACTAACGAAGAACTAACGATTGGTATATAGATATAGGCATTTATAGTAAAAAAACTGTTCCCGCTGGAAATTGTACAATTGTGAAGTTAGCGTACCCACTTTGTATGCCTCATAACTTTTTTATTTTTTGAGAACTAACGAAAAAATTTGGGAACTATCGAGGACTAACGAAGAACTAACGATTGGTATATAGATGTAAACATTTCTCCTCAGAAAACGGCGCGTGCTAGAACCCGGAAGTGTGAAGTTAGCGTACCCACTTATAATCGGCTATAACTTTTTTATTTTTTGAGAACTAACGAAAAAATTTGGGAACTATCGAGAACTAACGATGAACTAACGATTGGTATGATCAAAAGTGGATACGCTAATATGGGTACGTCAACTTCACGGACCTATGATTTCCTACTATATTTCTTTTCCATTTTGGGCAAACAATTTTGGAAACTGTTTAGTTAAAGTTCATTTTGGTGATGGCATTTTTTGTTTCCACACTGAGGCAAGGTGACATTCAAGATTCCGGCATGTCATTAAAACGGCCCATTTCTGTTAATGCACTACCACTATTTTTTTATTGCAATTCCGTTTATTCACTACCAGAATGTTTTCATAATCAACAAGTTTGGTTGGTTAAGTAAGTTTAGAATAGTTCATTTTATAATTGATATATTGATAGACTAGGCTAACTGTTAAAAATCGGAATTACAATAAAAAATTAGTGGTAGTGAATTAACGGAAAAGAACCCTAGTTTTTTACTGATTGTGAAGTGAAATGTCCGTGATATTCCCTCAAACTCCATTTGGGAACTTTTTATTTATTCCCTGAGATAACTTTACCAAAACTACAAGTATTTTAACTAGTATTCATACCACATGGTACTTCATAACAGACATGTTGTGATTTGTATTCATATACCTTTAGGTATATTCTCTGATATGTAATTGTAATTTTCACACAAAACACCTTGTTTAAATCAAATGAATAAATTCAAAGTACATACAAAATAAGTACGGTAATACCTTCACTCTTAATACGTGGAGTTATATTACAACTAACTATTAAAATACATGGTAAAGAAATGCTACAGTAAAACTCAATAAGAAGTTAATTAATAACTACTGGACTTTTCATTTAAATAGGTTTACACCCATTGAAAAATTGTCTGAAGAAATATTTACATTTGACTTTCAAGTCAAGTGTAAGTTAAACAGCTAATTCAAAAAGGTCAGTTTAGCTTTTCTTTCATTTAACCCAATTAGGCCCTACTGTTGAAGGAATGTTTTTAACTAAATTATCTCTTAATCTCCGATATTTGAAGCAATAACACAATCTTGTTTGTTTGTGTGTTTGTATAAATATATATATTTGAATAATTATTTAGCTATACTGTCTTGATAAAATTAAACATATTGTACTCAAGCTACAATATAGCAAAAAGCCTGGCCGAATTTTTAAATAATACATGATTAACCTTGGCAAGAATGTGGATACAGTTTGGAGAATAAGTGTAATCATTTTCAAACGTGGTTGATGGATTGTACCCAGTCAAGTGAAATAACATATAATCTGTCAAGTGTCATGTTTGGGTGTGACGTACAGTAATTCCCAAGTTTAAAGTGACTTAAATTCAACCTAACCACAAACCCCCTAAGACTTATTTAATTCTCCACGAAAAAACATTACTACGCTCAAAGTTATTTATTGAATGTAACCATGTCAAATATTAGTCAACTTATCCACTGTTAAGGTTGCGCTTCTTGGCATTTTACATTAGTAGGCACATTCTCAACCAAACCTTTGGGTTTTCTTCTGTAATAAACTTAAGTTCACCAACTACCATGTTTATAATAGCAGTTTTAATTGAGCGGAAACCATTTTACAATGTGTTTTAGATGGATAAAACCATTTTTCGCAATCACTATCTTTGACACGGCCCTTAAGTTAATTTTGCAACTTAACAAAATTATTCTGAATACGTAAACATGCCAAGCTAAAGAGGCTTATGTTTACCATATATTTCACTTTAAATATTTTCTGGTAATGAATTTTCCAAGTAATGATACTTTTTTAGCTAACAACACGTTCATTAAATGTCACTAATATCTTCTTTAATATCCGGTGAAGAGCTGGGACAGATTGTGGGACTGCTGATGTTATCTCATGGTCAACTGGTAATCAGTTCCCAAACATTGTCCAGCTGTTTTCCTCTGACACTGACACTGAGTCTACATGAGGACAAGTTCTGTAAGTATTTTTTGTTCAGCTAGTATTAGCTCTGATTATATGTACTACCAGAATAAAGGAGTTAGTACTACCGTGAAACGCCTCAAAAAACGGCACCGATAACCTATACTACCATACATATACACTTGTATGGGTCAATAAATGAAAGAATTAGCTTTTTAGCTTGATTTCGGAAATATGTGAAGATTAGTTAATATTTATATGTAGGCAAAGATCTGGATCCCCATGTTATTCTTATGGGAAAAAACGTCCCAAGTGCCGTCTCCTTCCTATATTGTACCTACTTACACAAATGTCATCGATTTTTACTACCAGCCCAAATAATTGATTTAATAAAAATAGCTGCCACTTTTTATATCGATTGTTCCTTATTCGTAAAGTGGTAACACCCCTTTAAGGATAATGGCTGATGCATAATTATTGTAAATCCGTGAACAGAAAATCACAAACAACATTTTTTTAATGATAGTTTTCACATCACAGTTCACTATAGTAAACTCCTACTTTTCCAAATTTTTCATGTCGCTTTTATGTCAGTTTTTTATCAATTCACAACAGCAATATATTCCACATTACACAAATAGCAAAACAAGTAATATATTCCACATGACCGAAACAAAACTTTATTACAAAGCATAAACGGTAGGATATCGCTGCATGTAAAAGATCGCTTGTAAACATTGTTGTCCAAAAATAACAAGGGACAAGTCCGTAACGCCACGTGTAGCATCCTGAATGTCTTACGGTCACCGCGTTCGAAATGTCTTCCTTATCTTATCATAGGGCAAATTTGTAGCTAAGGGGTTTTCGGAACGATTAAAAGCACTTTCATTACTAAAAAGGTGATAAAAACAATTAATTATGATTCAAATTATTGTAATTTTGTAAATTAATTGGGGACTCTTTTCATAATTAATTGTTTCTAGAATTGTTTGAGAGTAGACATTGTTTCTATTTTGATTGGTGTAAATATGGTTATTGAGATTGGTAGACAAAAATTTAGTACTATTGTAGCTAACTGACAGATCTTTAACGTGGACAAATAATTAGGTCTAATTTGCATTATAGATTCTGTTGTATACACACGTTGCTTTTGAAATAATTATCCAAGAGTTCCATTGCTAATGTTGTAATACATTTAGGCGTATTTTTGCTCCTAAGTATCTAAGTCTAAATAAAATTCATTTTCACATACCGTTCTTCAAAACTGTTAGTATTTCCGTTTGGATAAAAGTATAAATGTATTTAATACTTTTTACAGTCAATCACTTCATTTGATTAGACACTTTTGTTTTCTCCGAGGTAACATTTTCGTTTTTGAAATATTTGAGGACTTGTAAAGAGTTTGGAAACACCCTCTGTAACTTTGGTGAAGTTAATGTAAACATGGACAAGGTTTAACACTTAGTAACTTGCAAAAGGCTTGACATGTGAAATAGCGATACAAGTCAGTTTTGCAACATGGTTAAATTAAGTGCTACATAAGGTTGATTTAGATGTATTACAACATTAAAATCAATTTTGAATTATGTTAGAAATTCATTACGGGACTTTAGAGTACGCTTTATTTTTCATTAAACTGTACTTATTAAAATAAATACTTTTGGAAATTGCTGATAGAGCCGCTCTTGATTGGTTAATCATGTGTTCGTGAGTTTTGTGTTCGGTGTGTGAAAATAATTTTATAACATCGAAATATAGACAACTTTAAGCCCGTGACGGAAATTATTATGGATTAACAAGAGCAAAAAAAGAATGAGTCAGAGATTTGAAAAAAAATTTGGAATGTACATTTTACACAAAACAGCTATGATGACTAATTACAATGAACAAATGAACAATCAATAATGAATAATGAATAGTACCCCCTTGAACATTGAACAACTTATGGTTGCTGAAAAACTATTCCAAAGTACGTTTCTGTCAGACAAATGTACATTACCTTTAAATTTAGAAATTTATTTTAAATATTCGTTTCCTTGAACCGTTGACATTTTTTATGTTATCTAAAAATGGATGATCCAACCCCTAGTCTTTTCATTGTCTAACTTACCATATATAAATTACTAGCTGTACCCGTGGGCTTTGCCCCGTTTAACTTCATATGTGGGCTCGTTCGCATGGCTCAATCACGTCCTGGTAGAAGTTTGTTCGCTACGCTCACTCACCTTTAGGTTGGAGCACGTTCGCTGCACTCACACGTCCTGGTTGAAGTTCGTTCGCTACGCTCACTCACCTTTAAGTTGGAGCTCGTTCGCTGCGCTCACTTGCCTTCAGGTTATCTCGTTCGCTACGCTAACTCACCTCCGGGTTGAAGTTCGTTCGCTTTGCTCACTCACCTTTTGGTTTAAAATTAGCTGTTGTCAAATATTTAAAAAAAATAATAGTGCTGCACTCTGTTGGTAATCCTTGTAACTTTAATGCTATTGAACATCATAGAACAGAACCAACTTGTTTAATTGAAACAGCTGTTAAGATCCATTTATTCCATTTAAATATGAGTACTCATTAGGTTAACATGGGAAACTCCAGAGCCACTGGGGCGGAGCCCGAGAGTCCGATCAGAATAAAAACCACTTAGTTTTCCTATTTAATGCCTAAAGAATCAGGGTACCAAATTTCAGCCTCCTAGGTAAATGGGAAGTGGGAGAGTTAGTGATGAGTGAGTCAGTCAGTCAGTCAGTGAGGGCTTTGCCTTTTATATATATAGATAGCTTGTTCTCTGGTGATATAACCAAAATTAAAACGTATACAATAACATTTTCCCCTTCAAAAGAACCTTTTTCGTCAATATCACTTCAAACAGACTTAAACATGACCTGACATTTCAGGTTAACAATTTATAAAGTTTAAATAGGTCGAGCGTTATTCATACAGTATTTTAATTCAATGCAATCATGCAGGATGTTCTTTACCATCGTTAAAATATTAGATTGCTGCCATTAACAATTCAGCTCACTAATTAATCACCCTGGGTGTGTCTTGTTTGTGTTATCTGTATCTAACAGAACAGCTGATGTCACTGTCACACCATGTGCTGGACATGTCACCGCCTCCACAGGGACCTTCCCCTCAGGCACCTCGAGGCTCAACCTCACCCAGGGTTGGTGGTCTGGAGACCGAGCCAAGGGACGACCGGCGGAGAGGAAGACTCAACGCTGAACTGCTAATAGAGGTCTTGGCTGGAAACACAGATTCAGTAAAAAGGTAAAGTTATTATTATTTTTAAAGATTTTTTTGCTATTTACTGTTTATCTTTTCATTGCCGTAATAGTTTAATTTGTCATCAGTCATCAGAGCTGTTTCATATAGATGTTCCCACATACAAAAATTTTCGTCAAAAGTGAGACTTGTTCTTGAAGTGGATTACCTGGGTTTCGGCTTATTTAATTCCATTCTTGAATGCTATGGAAGAAATTAAAGATATTAACTTTTTCTTCTTGCTTTAATTAACTTTCGGCTTGGAATACCATGTCCGCTTGATATTCTTCTTTAGTGATTTTTTAATAATCCATCTCACACACAACACGAATATAGAGTGAATTGCTTGACTACATTGTAAGGTAGATTTTGTTAAAGATCATCAAAAAAATCCAATCTTAAAAAAACAATTAGTTTCAAAAAGTGACATCCTTTTATTGTGTTTGGTTCAATCTGTGAAGGATCGATGTTTTAAATTAACAAACATGATGCAATCGTTTTTAGGACCGTAGCCAGTAGTGGTATGGTATGAGGCTACCCAGATATTGAAAATGAGTTTTTGATTGTAATTACCACCCTTGTCTTTTTATATTGTAACCCTTGTCTTGTAAAAGACTTCAAAATCTCACTCCAAAACATTATGTATAACCCCTAACTATGGAATTGTTTCCAGTCTGTCATCGTTCAATTCATTTTGCAGGTGTCTAGAAACAGGGTCATCAGTCAACGCCACATGTCGCCCAACCCTTACCTCCGCACTACATCTAGCAGTGGCTTGCAGACATGAGGACATCGCAAGACTGCTGCTGTCCTGGGGGGCAGACGTCTTGCGACGTGACCTGGAGGGGAGACAGGCCATCCATGTGGCAGCAGCTGTCGGCGATCCAGTGTTGTTACGTCTGCTGCTGCAACGAGATTCCGACATGGTCAACAGTCAGGTGGTGCCCTCACGTGAGGCTGAGGACACACTGAGTCTAGACTGCTGGAGCCACGATCATAGCTCTGTCTCTGACAAGGTTGGTATGAATTGATTTATTATTATATTAATACCAATTGAAAACCATACTCCCAAATTATTGGATGGTTAAGGATCCAAAGCCAGCTTTCCATCATTTGAGCAGTTTCGCTTGGGTTTTGAGGAACAAGACACAAAATTTTAAGCATTCAGTTTGAAGATTGTGCAGAAATTCAAGCCTTCACTTTATTATTTTATACATATCATTTGTCTTACCAATATTAATTGATTTGTATTAGGGAATTATTAATAAAAAGTTTTGGTTTGTACATATAAAAAAAAAAAAAATACAATAGGATAGATATACAGTGTGAGTGTGTAATTTTGTTACTAACCACTACCATCCAAGACCATTTTTATGAAAAGTCCAATGATGAGGAAGGTTGGGCTTTATTTTGAACTATTAAAAAGCTATCGAGTTTAGTCGTGGTTGAGCCAGACGCGTTTTGATTACTTAGCCTACTACCTATAAGAGAAACGACAATTAACTATTTTTCTTTCAGGGATGTTACTCTACTAAAGACAGTGACACAAATAGCCATATTTATGTGCAATCAATGTGCGAGGCATATGTAGATGGACAAATGCAAAGTAAAAAAGACCCCCAACCTCTTAAGAGAAAAAATATATGCCTGGTTATAGCTTTCTTAACACGATCAAATGTTTCTTTGGTTGAGGTAATTTACTAAAAATCCCAATTGTCAATAATAACTGGGCAAAGCTAAAACTAATGAAAGATCAATGACAGTTTTGTTAGGGTTTAACTTAAAATTAAAGGATGAGTAATGTCTAATGATTCAGCTACCCACCCATCTATATTAAGATACTATAAAACTTTAGCAAGATTGTATAGTTTGTTCAAATTTAATTTGCAGATTCCTCAAGTTGCACAAAAATCATCTCCTCTTCACCAAGCTGCTCAAAGAGTCAACTTAACTTGTGTAATACTTTTGCTTGAACAAGGAGCTAAAGTTGATGTTAAAGATGGAAGAGATTTAACTCCTTTGGATGTGGTGGGAGAAATAACAATAGGAAAGGCAGTTGGCTTGTCTAAGTCCTCAAAAACACCTAGTGACATGCAAAACATTATTAACTGCTTATTGCAAAAAGGTGCTAAATTTACAATACGGAAAAGCACTCTAGGTCAAGGAGTTGAAAACCAAGTTACAATGGAAGTTAACTGCCTTCACACTGCTGTATTGCAAGAGGATCCACAGCTAATTGAATTTCTGCTTGATAATGAAGCTAGTCTGAGTATTTTGAATGGTGAAGGCCTTACACCACTTCATCTTGCAGTATCTAAACGTCTTCTTGAGCCCCTCAGAATTATATTGGAGAAAAATCAATCCATACAGGTAAAAAGTTTTAGAATTGATTGCTAAAGTGATTGTTTTATACTCCTTGAATATTTATATTTTTTACTAAGCTGCATCTAATGAAAGTTTTATAGCATTCCCTTTTAAAAAACAGCACAGGTAAAATTAACACTCTAATTAGGTCACTTACATAAAGCCTTACGTTTCTTGCTAAAGTTTAATATTCCAAAAATGAAGTCCCTCTTTACATTAAGCGGTTTTTAGAACTATTCGAGGGAACCAGTTAATTTAACTTGGAAGGTTTTAGAACAATTGAATACTTAAAAATTTGACTTAATTTATGTATGCATTTCCATCACTAACTGTAGAAACAATCCGTTTCTTATCACTTTATCACAAGGTACTGGATGCCGTTGACTTCCAAGGGCGTACTCCATTACATCTCGCTGTTGCCCAGATGTGGTTGCCAGGAGTCAGTCTTCTGTTGGAGGCTGGAGCTGATGTAAAGGTCACTTCTAGTGAAGGTCAAACAGTGTTACACATGGCTGTGGCTACTCATCAGCCAGATCTGCTGAAGGAGCTACTTACAATCAGGGAAGCAGTCAATGTAAGTACCGTACACCAATAATGTCACTCGATAGCTTAAATTGTGAAATCAAAAGTAGTAACCATAGGTAAAGTTATTGGTTACTACATAAGAAGATGCAATAGAGTTTCTTTATTTTGTAGACATGGTTTTTACATTAGTTCAAGTAAACATTCATTACAATTTGAATTTAATTTCATCATCAAATCATCAAATATCTGTGTACAAGTTGTTGTTTAATTTATGGTTTAAGCTTATGAGTTAAGGAAGAAGGGAGGATACTGTAGCTCACATTAGAAAATAGTTTTAATCAGTTGATATCACACAAACGTTAATAAAACTCATCTTTTTTCTCATGAAGAAGCCCCGTGGGGAGTTGAATGGGTAAAACATCAAGTTAATTGTGTTGTAATATGTTTGTGCGCTGTTACCACGTGGAACCTATATTAGGTTAGTTAGTAAAGTCGCTTCTGTTTCCGTAATTTTCTGAAGACTCACTTAAAAACTCTTCCACAAAATCCTATCTAAGTACTGTAAGTATCTGTACTGTTGCAGTCTTATGTCTAAAGTTCCTTTTATCTGTCCAGATGATCGATGCACGCAACAGACACCATGAAACACCACTAAGCTGGGCTGTGTCCATGGGTCAGTTGGCCTGTGTGGAGGTTCTTCTTGCCAAGGGAGCAGACGTCACTATCAAGCTGCCTGGAAAGTGCAGTCTCATACACTTATGTGCCATCAGAGGTCACAGCTCAGTTTTGGCAGAAATCCTGAAGTACCCTCGCATGGCAATGTTCAAGAACTCACAGACCAACGAGCAGAATGGTGGCTTGACTGCCCTCCACCTAGCGGCTCTGGAGGGATCCACATCCTGTGCGGATGTCCTTTTAGCTGCAGGATGTGATGTGCACAAAGTGTCCTTCCAGTGTCCTTACCGCAAATCAACGCCCTTACATGTCGCTGCCATGAAAGGGCGTTCTAAGATAGTCCTAGCAATTGTAAATCACGATTTAAGCACCCTCAAGGCTAAAAACGAAGATAAATGGTATCCATTACACGTTGCGGCTAGGTTTTCAAACCATGAATGTGTCAAAATAATGTTACTCAACGGAGCGAATTTGGCAACAACCGTTTTGGATTCAGATTTCAAAAAAAGAACAGCTTTTGACATAATTGTTTGCAACATACTTGATCCAGCTGCCTTTGTTAATGATGTGTTTGACTGCTACATTCAAGTAAATGAATACCCGTTGAATAGCAACGAGTGTGAGATAAAAGTGAATTATGACATTCTTCAACCTCTCGGACCAGATAGGAAACAAATGAAAGTGTTAGACTCTCTGTTGAACTGTAAGAAATGTGCAGTGCAAGAAAACGTGCTGTTACACCCTCTGATTCAAACCTTTCTACATCTAAAATGGAGGAGGATGAGAGTTCTTTTCTTTGTCATAATGGCACTGTACATGATGTTTACCTTGTCACTCACCTCAACAGCAATGTGTTATTATGTTCTCTGGGGACAGATACATTCAAGATTCTTGTATTTGGTAACCTGTGGTTGTAGCTTCACTTTGGGAATCTCTCTCCTCATCATAACCATACAGGTTTGTTACGTACTATAAACTAATATGTTGAATAACAACGTTCAACAGTGGCATTACACTAATTCTTGTATACTCTCAACTCTGTGCCATTTGGGGCAAATGGAATCAGGCTTCCAAAACTCTTCTTAGTCCTTTTAGTAATTTTCCTTTTCACTTTCTTTGGCACGATTCAAGAAGTGTTCTCTAAATATTCATCTGGGGGGGACTGAAGCTTCTATTCACCAAACAAGGTATACTTTTTAGACTAAAAAAAAATATAAAACTTCTAAAAAGCTGAAACCCAAAATTAAAGTTATGGCTTTTATCAATCCTTCCTCCAAATGAATCATCCTTCAATCTTTCTTTACTAGAATCATGAAAATCTGTCAAGCTTTTACTACAGAATACAGAAATTTTCTGGGTAGCCAAGTGGTTGATAGTGCTTGCCTTAAATCTAAAGGTCACTGGTTCGATTCCAAGCTAAATCATTTCCACCCAGATGCCATTTGTCATCGGGCTAAGAACTAATGGTGCTATCCAACAAAAAGGTTAATGTAGATAGTAACAAGACGAGGGTTGGGTCCGTTCCCTTACAAAACGTAAAAAATACCATTGTTGTAAAAAAACACTAAATAAAAAAGAATTCTTGAGTAAAAACCCCCTTCACGTTTTAATATACAGGACGGTTCAGATTAAAACCTAACTAGGTAATACACAATATCTAGTTTAGTGAAAATCAAATGCAACAATTTATAAGTTAAAAATAACTGCTTTAAATACATTAAAATAAGTTTATTTACTGTAAACCATGTCTGTAATTTTTCATCAGGAGCTTCTCCAGGCGTTCAGAATGCAGCGTTACTACTTCAAGGACCTGGAATCCTGGATCAAGTGGTCTTCCTTCATTCTGTCTTTCCTGGTGCTACTGGGCGATCATCCTACCGAATGGCTGGCCCAAGTGGCGTCAGTTGCTGTGCTTCTGTCCTGGCTAGAGCTTCTTTTTCTTCTTTCCCGTTGGCCTTCCACTCTTGGATTCTACATCGTCATGTTCTTCACTGTTGCCAGAAATGTATTTACGGTATTGCACCCAATATATTTACACACAGCATAAGGACTGATAAGAAAACAAGTCTTGTCATTACATAGGATACTATGGCAGATTGGAGAGTATGTGAAATTAAATTAAGGGGATTCGCCACTGAAAAGGATAATTTTTTTATTTATTGAGGGAATTCGTCAAACTATTTTTTTTTTTCTAGTAGGGTATAATTTAACAAAAAATCGAAAAATTTTGGTTTACTTCCAAATATAAATTATAGGTGGCAAAAAAAAATAGAGGTATTTGGTCAATTTGTAAGGGTTTTTAAAAAATCTATATTCTGAATAGAGTTCTTTATGGATTTTAATAAAATTGTTGTTTTTTTTTTTTTTAAGACATTTATCTAAACTTAATATTTATGTAGATTCTTAATAATATCTCAGATATTTTTTTTGCTGTGACACATTAAAAAAGAATTGGTTTTTTTTTTTGTCTTGAAAAACGTGAACTTTTAATGTTGCGGAAAACCGCATTTGAATAAGAAGATGTCCTTTGATCTTGTAGCTATCGTAAAGAGCGAAACCCGTTGCTTATAACATATAATAACATTCAGACATGGATTATATTATACTTTTTGGATGTAATAGGGTCAAATGTACAAAGAAATGAAAAAATATATTTTTTTAATTTTTCATGATTTTTACCTATTTTCAGTGGCAAATTTCCATGAAATTTAATTAAATTTTCTATTATTTGTTTCTTGCAGGCCACCCATTTTTCATTTGACATGCTATACCTATGCTAGGATCTCCAAGAGATGACTGCACCCACTACCCCTTCCTTGCAGAGTCTCTCACATTCTTGCGCCCCTAGGCCCTGGAATTGAATTCCGAATATCACTAAAATATATTCCCTTCACACATTTTAAGATTTGGCATAGCATAAATCGTAAACATATTTTGCAAGATGCACTAGTCCTATGTGTTCTGTTCTAGGTGTTGGCTACGTTTCTGTTTGTCATCCTTGGATTCATGTTCGCCTTCATGATCCACTTCCGAGACTCCGGTCAGTTCACAGACGTGTGGAGATCGTTCACCAAGGTCCTGGTTATGACCTTTGAGTTAGACTATGAGAAGATGTTCCGGACAGTAAACGGTATGAATGCTGTGGTGGGCCGTGGCATCTTTCTGTACTTCATGGTGTTGATGGCGATCGTCTTGATGAACCTTCTGGTTGGTATAGCGGTCAGCGACATTGCCATGCTTGAGAAGCAAGGAAGAGCAAGACGGCTCGCAAAGCAAATTGACTTCCTCAGCATGCTGGAATCGTATGTCTACAATAGATATTTATTTGCGTTTTGCCCAAACAAACTTTCCAAAATTATTAGAAGATTTAGAGCTGTAGATCGGGTGCTAAAATTTTACCCGGGTAGGCCACGAAAGAGAGGTAACCAATTGACTGAGGACTTAATACAATCTTTGATTGACAATGTCGTAAGGCAACGCAGCAACTGCAAAAAGAAAAACTGTGAAGTTGGTTGCATCGGAGATGATGTCTCTGTACTGAGAACGCTGTAATTGTAAACAACAATAAAAAACATAGCTGTAAAGTAAAATATTTTTTTACTACATTATACATACTATTGTACAATAATAACTAAGTAATCTGGCTATGTAAAATTACTGTTGCAAAAGTCTTTAAGTTTCTGAGAAAACATAGGTTATACTTAGAAAAGTAAGTAACTTTGGTATTATCAGTGGTAATCCAAAATAGTACAATTTTACCGATAATCTGATCTTTATATTTTATTCCAACATGCGCTGAAAGTAGGATCAGAATTAACTAACTAGTGCTCAAAATTTTTACTATTTAAAAGATTAGCTTTCTCACTATGACTCTATCATTAATAATACTTTTGAAGTCTAAGATCTAAGATCTTGGATAGATCTATGTAAATAATTCTAAGTTCTATTCTTGTTAATTAATGAACAAAAAATTAGAAGAGTAAGTGCTTTGGAATACTATAGCTTAGTAGATCTTTATTTTAAAATATCGGTAGGGAAGTAATAAAAAATAATACCTTTTGAAGAAACAGTTTATTAAATATACATAAAACAGGTTTTGTTTCATTCCACATACTTTTTTACAATAATTGCTATACAAGCAGTTATATAACATTAATCAGAATACACAGATTGTAGGTACAACTAAAAACTGCTTAATTGTTAGGGTTAGTTAAAAAAATCAAAATATAACTTAATTAAAATCTTAACACTTTCAGCAATATATGTGTTTATACTTTTGCTTTCTGACTAAATTATGTTGTGGCATACAATTACTTTAAATCAGACATAAAGAATACAAGAATACAAAAATACAAAAATAAATTATGATAACCGATTCTTTTGGGAATTGATGATAATTTTGTAAAATCAGTTTTAGAAATTATTATATAGAAATTAGGGTAATCTCATATTTGAGGGATACTGTGATATGCAGGAAAACCTCTCACACTTTACAGGTTGTCCCGCATATGGGAGTGTAAATTTAGTGAAACCCGGATCTTTAACCTTAAATAATTTAGTTATGATTTGGATGGCTGTTAAATGACAGGATTAATGACCAGATTAAATTCAAAGTACTGAACTTTTTATTCTCTCAAAGTAATTAACTGTTCTAACAACAATAAAACAATTATTATCAACAAACCTAATGATGAATGGCTGATTGGAAACATGGAGGCAGATAGAACTTTGAGTATAAAATTCCCAAAAATGAATCTACTTCTACGTAATTTATAAATCAATCAAAATATCATAATCAAAAGATTAACTCTTAATCCCCTTTAAATAAAACTTCCCCCGAAAAAACTCCCAGCTAAAGGGTCTAACCCTAAGATAGAGCAACCAGTACTCACCCAACTCTTCTGGGCACCCTGGCCTGGCCGACTGACCCCTTTCTCTACCTCTGGTGGCCTATTTATTGAACCCGATAGCTACTCAGTGCAAAGCCCTCAGTGTTTACGAAAACACCTCCAGCACGCTTCCGAGGTAGCAAGGCCTGACAACAGGTCATCAACCTAGCTTGCCTAGGCTACCCTCCATTACAATACATATTATAACAGTATAATCTCATTGCCTGACGATAATTTAGTCCTTGACACTATCAATTCAAGTTCACAATTATTTGGTCATTTCCTATTCATCAACACCATAAATGCATATGTAAAATTACCAGTTTTTTTCTACAGACTTTTTATGGACAAGGTTATCATATCCGTACTTAATTAAATATGGAACACAGTATAAATTATTTATATTATTTTTTTTTGAAAATGATTTACTAAGAGAACATTAAATTTTAGCCTCTGACATCTCAGCATTTAGACCAGATCATAGTTTCTCCACATCCGCCAGAATAACAAATGTTAACAGTAACAAATGTTAACAGCACCTCAACTCCAGAATTTAGTTTCACCAACGTCAACTTGTAAGATTCCACAGGGGAGAAAACTTTTGTGAATTACCCTCTAATATCTTCCCAGGGAAATTCCATATTTTTCTTTTTTACATTAAATAGGAAAACCAGTTTTCTTTTTGTTGCTGTCCCAGTTATTTACCACTGATGCAATTTCGAAACATTTAAGTTTAAAAAATATGTCAGCCCTCTCTTGTGTGAATAAAAGTAAGGGGATCTATGAAAACTAAAGTAATAATTTTCCTTGTAGTAACTCTGTATTTATGTTCAGTCTTCTTGCTATGGGCCCCTAATTGTTCCTGAATAAAGCTAAGCCCTCCTATTTCACCTAGCTATGACCTTGTAGAACTGATTATCTTGCAACTCCGATCAAATTAATCTAAGACTAGATCTTAAAAAGTCAAAGTCTGCCCCTTTCAGAATTGGTAAACTTAATTATTCCAACTCCCTGCTTGTTTTCTGGCTAAACTTTTAACCTTTGGTAAACTTAAATCTGCTGCTAAAACTTCTGTAGTAAACAATCCTTATCACAGTAGCAGCCTCAACAGCCTAGCCCGACTAAGCAGGTTGCCCATAGTGATGTATGCGCCAGTGATAGTGCGAGCCCCAGTGTAGGCTGACCTGCCATGCAGCACTCTCCAGTTGTTGATGAAGACTACAGTCCCTGGCAGTAGAGTGAGTCTCCACTGGTCTGCAGGGTTCACTACTGCAGAGGTGAGGCTGCGGAGGGACTTGTAGAACTGTGATGTCTCACTACTTGGCTGAACCTGCCTGGCACTTCGGTCATACAGGTTGTATCTGTAATCAATCATGAATCATGCATGTAGAACAAATACCCCCAACACAGCAGACCTGCAGACTAAGCGAGTTTTCATTTAAATTGCTATATTTCCACTAAAATATTCCCTTAAAATTGTCAGATTTATCTCCTATTTATATAACATTATTTTAATGAGTACTTCGGTTTGCTGCAACAGAGGATGTAATGAGGTGTTTCTTCTTAATTAAAATTTTGATAGCTTAGTATGAAATAAACAAAATAACCAAATTTCATTTCATCTATAAACAAGCAAACTACAACAGTTACCATAAGAATAACATGGGAATTATTAATAATTTACACTGTGAATTTAATCACAGCCACCTCTAATAAAAGGCCGCGACGTTCGAACTGGCAACGCCGCAATCACACCCCGTCTGGGTCTGTCTTCACATGCGCTAGACTTTAACTTAAATGAGAGTTTTGCTGTTTTCACTGCTCTATAGAATGAATGAAAGATATTTAAATGGCATATAATAGTGATTTTTGTACTAAAATACAAACATAATGTCTGTTTGCTTGTAGGCCTATTTATCGTATTGTAATAAATACAATGAATGTGAAAAAGTCTTGTAAAACTTCCAATTACAAATGAAAGAATAAAATTTAAAAACTATTTTTGGATTGGTTGAATAAAATTATTTTCAATTTTAAGTATTCATAATATTGTTTTAGCCTATCTGACAAACCATAAGTCTAGATAGCTACGACAAAATTTGAAGTTTTCTTTTCTTGTTTGAAGGCCTACTGACGGAATCATTTATTTTCTTTGAATAATTATTTAGCAATACGTTTGCCATTTATTTTTTTTAAGGTCAAGACTGGGAAAAACTCATTTTTACCTTAGAAACCCCTCCATAAAATCCCGTTCAAAATCGGTTAATTTTTGCTTGAGTTATCGCGACAATCATATATTCATTGATATATATGAATTTGAACGAAGGACGTTTTTGGCCTCAGGGGACCTCAAATTGCAGTAAATCGGTCTAGGGTCTAGGTCTTACCATGAGACCTACGGTAATAGCTTCCCTGGAGCTAAGCTTATGCTGTGAGCGTAAGTAGTTTAAATTATTTTAAAATATCTTAAAGCATTTTGTTCACGTCTTAAAAAATAATAATAATAACTTAAAACTTACCTAATTTGTTTAATCTTTCCTTCAGGCCAATGGCTGATGACAGGGGTCATTTGTGACAGGTGATAGCCCTTCTCTATGTACTGGTATTCTGTGTGAACAGTCTTCAAACACTCGTAATGTTGAGGATGCTCAACCTCAACTTGTCTTGCGGCTCTAAACCCATCCACCAGAAGTGTTTGACCTCCTGAACAGTTCCTTTTGATACAATGGAAGATTATCAATCTGTAAACACAACAATTAAATAATTAATCAATCTGGAACAATTAAAATAATGATAAGAACCCACTACCAAGTCCCCCTCATCTTCATAGAGGGTTACAAGGTCAAATGTACTTACTGTTCTGACTTTTATGAAGGACCCATTGGTCGAATCTTTGGATTAGTTTACAAAGATCAACTTGACCCTAGAGCCCATGAACAGAGATCCAGGGCTGTATTTCCCTAACGGCTGACACGGCGGTTGCGGGAGGCCTCAACCTAGAAGGGGCCTCACTTAGGGCCTCAAATTTTTTTATTGATAAATTTATTCCACCGATAATCTGTTTTGCAGTAATTGCAGACGACGTTGATGAAATCTCCGCAACCGCTAAAGATCTTCACTATTTCCCCGTAAATGTAGAAGTTGTCACTATTCAGAAGACTACGTCTCAGCGCTCGCGCAAGATGCTAACTATTTCTCTGCGGCTACAGGAGACGTTCATGATTTCACTGAGATCGGAGGAGACGAAGATGATGATGATGTCTCTGCGATCGTGCAAGATGTTCACGGCCACATTAGTTCATGATTACGCCACGATCGGAGCAGACGAAGATTACGTCTACGCGTTCGGGCAAGATGCTTTTTCTCCGCGGCCATAAAAGACTTTCATGATTCCACCGTGATTGGAGAAGACAGACCAATATGATGTCCCCGCGATCGTGCAAAATGTTCACTGTTTTCCGCAACCACGGGAGACATTAATGATTTTGCCGTGATCACAGAAGACAAAGATGTTGTCCCTGCAATGGCGCGATTGTCTTTTTGTCTTTTTTGCCGATCGGATTGTTCAAACAAGAAAAGGTCAAAAGGTCAGTTCATAAAGTTGAAGCAATACCACACATATTTCTTAGCACTTAAGTTCCGACCTTAGAAGGATCAGAAAATAAAGAGGGGCCCCTCTGATGAGAGCCGCTCGGGGCCTCATCTATATATTTAATACACAGTTGTAACACTGTTTTCTCAGTAATTACTGGACCGATCTGCAAGATTTATGTCTCAAATTAAAGGGGATAGTGTGTAGATTTGCCGAACTTCCTTAGAATTTACGTTTTTTCTAAGGGCTACGACCTACAGCCCTTTAAAAGTCGAGTAAATACAATTCTTATTGAAGAATATAATACACAGTTTATAAATTATTCGTCAGCTGTTTAATGTTTGTCAGACATTTGTTATTATTTTTATAACCTCTCTTTCAGTATGCAATTATTAAACTTGGAGTTTCTGTTTATAAACACACGATTTTGATCAAGGAAAGTGTATTTGTTAACTTATTTTTGAAATGTTTTAGTTTTCCTGCAAAGTGATCTGAAGGAAAGTTGTAATTGAGTTTAAGTTTGAGTATGGAATGTGAAATAATACCCATAGTAGGGAACGGAAGCTTATTGTTTTGATCAATATAATTTATTCTCTACGGCCACCAGAATAATCATGGGGAAATCCGCTTGCAAGTTGTACATATAATTGCTAATGAGTGGGAAACATACAAACATTTAATAGTAGGTGATGAATCTTACTCAAGATCAGTGTTAGACGTTCAGTGGTACCAAACTTTACCTTCTCGAGATGGCGAGTACGTTGGGATACGTGGAACTACAATATATCAGTGAATTTCTTTTCCAAGTACACAGGGAAGTTGCTTGAGAAACTGTGACTTACCATTCGGTTCTGGCGAAGAAGTATGTGACTTGATGTTTAATGGCAATGTTGACTCGGGTCATTATAGCGTTATAAAACTTTATCATTAACCCCAGGATGTGAAAAGCACAAAAAGAAAAAGAAAAGGTAATCATTAACCGGGCGTAAAGAGACATACAGAACGAAAAAACATGTAGAGAACCATCGAACTAAAAAGGTAAAGAGCAGTGATGGTGTTAAATGTGCTCTGGAAGTCCCTTCTAAAAAATACCAATTTTTTTAATTGGGGTCGTTAGATTGGATTTGTCAGTACAGCAAATCTATGAATTTTGAGTCAGAACAGATTAACTGGGACACAAATATTTTTCCCTTATGTTGTCACAAAGGGAAGGTAAAATGAACCCCTTATCAACATTTTGAGTTTGTTTATGGAAAATCTTATCAACAGCGACTATAAAAAAAAGTATTAAGGGTCAAAAGAGACAAAAGACTATTTGAGTAAAATATAATACAAATCTGCATTTGAAATGGCCAGTTCTAAGTCTCACTTGAATCAACATCTTTCTGGTAGTGGTAGTCAACATAGTTTTAAAATCCACGACTCCTTTTCCATCAAATTGGACCGTTAATACCCTAACATTGAACAAAGTATGCCCAACTTTATATATACGACGTAAACACAGCTTTTACTCACAGTATGGGTCAAAGATTCGTGAAATGCGACCAACTGCTGATGCGTGATTTACATGTAGGCTAAGTTACTATCTTTATTCCATACAACAAATGTAATGAAAAAAAAAACGACGAATATAGGAATATAATTGAGCAAATTATCTAAATATCATAAATAGCTGCTTATTAGGTTATCAGCATTGCCCAGTTCGTATACTATTTATTTTTCAAATGAAACTCGAATTAATATAAAATATTAATTTGGTTAAAATAATATATCGGTTTGATTAACATGAAATAGTTTATACAGGCAAACTATCAGTTCTATTTCATGTAAAAAATTAAACAACCCCTAAATAAAATACAAAGATAAACAGTATTTGTTAATTATTATTTCTTTTATTGCTGACAATATTCCCGTGGCGGAGCACGGGCGGTTAACTAGTAGATTCTAAATACGGCCCTGCAGAGATCTAAATTTGCCCAACTTGTCATTGACAAACATAATACCTTTGAAAAAACTGTCTCAAAATATGTCACGAAGAAAGCAGGGTGGATTCTCTAGAATAGCAAGCATAGATTCATTAATGAAGACAAAAAGGACCATTTTCACAATGGACAATTAAACTACAAATGTAATTCCATTTTCAAAGCGATAGCAAACAAAAATTATACTACACAACATAGACTGGTAAAACAATATCTAGCTGATAACTCTTCACTTGCCTCATTGCGTGTTACATGTGATAGGGCTATATGGTTTTAATCTTTCTTATGTTAGATTACGTGTTTGTAAATTTTATGTTATTTTTAATGTAGCCTAGTTAACTAACAACTACCAATTTACACATAAATCATTATTTTTATTTTGCTACCTGATGATGCAACAGTCATAAAGAAACGTAAGATAATAATCACGGTAATAAAACGACAAGAGGTAATTAGTCTAGTCGTTAAAATTACATCTGGAAAGATTGGCAAGAAGGGCCTACCCTGCAGGCTCTATAAAGTAGCAAGTGTCAGTGTGAGGGTCTAACGCTAGGTTTGTATAGGCTGTGTCCAGATGATCCATCTGGTCACTGAACTCCCACATTGCTCCAAACAGGGTGTGCTGCGGAGGACCAACATGGCGGATCACTTCCTCAGTGGCAGCTACGCTCGGCTCCACCTTGGACCAGAAATGTGAATTTTAAGAAGATATAATAGCAAATTATGAGATATTCTTTATTAAATCGGCCTGTTCAGGCCAGTGTAATCCGTAACAATTGTATCTTGTATTTATAATTACTTACTACAACCTGAACAATAATTCAATGAGGAGGAGTTGTATTAAATGTTTGTCTAAACGTCCGCTGCACAAAAATCTACAAACCAAAGACTTGAATTCACAAAACAAACAAAGATACTTAGCTTTTTTATGATCGGTAACAGATTGTGTAAAAAATCTCTAACTAAAATTAAAATTTATTTGAAAGTATAAGATGACCAATGAATCACAAAATGAGTGTAGCAAATTTAACGAATGTAAAAAAAAAACTGTTTAACTAAAAGGTTGAAGGGATACATACAGGAAACATTACATTTTTCTCGAAACTAATGTTACAACAATTAACACCCCCGCCCCCCCCCCATTTTATTAAAATTCTGTATAACTGTAGACTTAGTTTTTTGGAGTAAAAGCGCTTAGATCAATAAGGAAGAAATTATGGATAAGGAACTAGCTTGGTTACCAAGAAAACAGTTCCACACAGTTGACAGCTCACAAAAACTTAACAACAAAATTAATTTTAAGTCCGACTACTTTCGTCTGAAGCCCCATTGTAGCATTGTAGTCGTGAAATATCTAATTTTATCATTAACCTTTTGAGTGCTGCTATCAGTCTGAACTCATAAGTTAGTTTGTGTATATTTTCCTAACTGTGCACTTTACTCATGATAACTTGCTCACATCAGTGACAAACCCAACTCCGTACTGCAGAAGTGACTTGACCAGCCTAGTAATGCCACGTTGAGACTTCACTTCTTCGGCTGTCACATGTTCTACCTCTCGTGACACGTCCCCGGACCACAGTACTTCTTGAGGTCCACTTTCCACCTTGGTCTGGCTTGTAATCCATTCCAAATCATACACAGATTTGTGTCCATCGCTCCCTGGGGGAAAAATTGTAAGTTTCACATAGGCATGTGGTTGAGGATTTGCTAGTTGGGTTTTCTAAATTTTTATTCTACAGAAATAGAATTTCAGGGTTTATTAACTCTGTCTATTTATTTTTAGTACTACAATTTCAAAGAAACTAAGGATATAACTTTAATTTACATGACGAGTTAGTGTCTGTTTCAATTTATCTGCATGAACAGTATAACATAAATGAGTAAAAACTAAAAACTATAGGCTACAGTGGATCAAACAAAAGCGAAAATAGTCAAAACAAGTAAAATAAAATAATTTAAAAAAGTTTTAGAACCATATTTGTGTATTTTTTTCAAAGAGTTCATTAAGATGGGATAAAAACTTGTAGTTTTTTCTAACACAAAAGTAACAAGAAAATATTTATTGATTAATCAAAATGTTTGCCCCAGCTAAATTATTAGGTACGGTTAGCTATCATATTTTAAAATTACAATATTTCAAAAATATCTTTAAATATATATCTTGACAAATACCTTGAAATAAAGATCTTATAAATATTTCTAAATTTTGTAAAAAAATTCAGTTTAAAGTGTTTTTTGTTAATATTCTATTAGGCCTTTTTAATGTTTAATAAATATATAAAAAAGTCATTAAAAATATTACTTCAAGTCAACTTGATTCATATGTGTGTCGGTTAATGATACCAGCTACGGTACTAAAATATTTTTACTCACAGTTAACAACAAATTCTTTTCCACAAGTAGAAAAATTGAGCGGCTGTATACTGGGATCTATGTCAATAATTCTTATGTTACGTTGGTTGGTTATATTGTTGTAGCAAATATTGCACCTATAACAATGAATTGTTAAGACAGGTGAGGAAAGTGCTTGGAATACATTTGTTGATCTCCCAAAGACAATTCTCAAACAAGAGAGTTTTAAAAGGAGATAAGAGGTCAGCTGGCTCATCCGTGTGTGATCCTATTGCAAGAATAATATCATAGACTATATTCAGAAGATTTGAAAATATATTTTTCCTCACATTGCATGTTGATGACACTGAGGATAACATTTTTTAAATCTCAACTGATATTTCTAAATAAAATACTACCTATGACGGCCAATACAGTAGACAAAATATCAGTGGTTTTGTTATCTGAATTTTATATATTTTTCATTAAAATACTCCCTAATCTGACATGTTGCAAAAGTTTTTGTTAGGTACATTGTTTTCCCTGTTGATCTTACAAATCATTTTTCTTTTTTTAATAGCTTTTTATTTTATATTCCCATAGGCCGCTAAAAGTGTTCAAAACCTCACCAAATAAATAAAATACCGATATCAACGTATGACATACAATAGACTCCCTCTCATCCGGACTCCTCCCGACCGAGGCCAGTCCGGATAACGGTATTTCCGGTTAAACCGACGTCCCAGAAAACTCGTTAAAACGGACCGTTTACTGTAATATTCAACCTAAATTTAGAATAGCATTGTATTTAGACACGTGATCACTGGTCTCAAATCTTTCCCACGAGAACAGTCGTTTGAGCTGATTATGTTAAAGCAGATTATGTTAAAATATTTATATTATGTTTTAAAGTACAGGTTAAGTGTAAGAAAGGGTGGCCCAAGCTATAAAGCTATAAATAGTCCGGTTAAACCAATGTGTTGATAAAAATTGTCCAGTTAAAGAGATGTCATTTCCGCCAAGTGTAGTCTGGTTAAACCGATGTCCAATTAAAAGGTGTCCGGGTAAGAGGGAGTCTACTGTAGGCAACTAAAACAGGTTTAGCATCAAACAGTTAGGCCTAACGCATTTAACATTTAACAGTTATATACCATGTGACAATGTTAACATTGTCTGACTCTAATTACTTTAACTCACTCCAGATTTGCAACGTGAAGGCACGAAATAGTGAGTGCTTAGCATGCAGACAAGGTCGTATGCGCGCGAAATACATTGGCAGCACTGGCTGTAAATCAGCTGGGCAGCTGTTGTACTGTTGTATCATTAAATGTCATATTAAAAGTTCACTTCTGTGTAAAAATATGTTGCGTTTCTTTACCAATTTATTTGTTTTATGGTAACTGTAGGAAAAATATAATGTGCAACTCGAGAGCAAAGTGCAATTGCCTCACTCGAGAAACCATTCCTCACTCGCCTACGGCTCGTGAGTAAGTATTTCTCTCGAGTGAGTCAATTGCTCACTTTGCTCACTAGTTGCACAAATAACTATTTAGCTTGCTAATTTATTTTGATGATCGATAACAGAATTAGACTAGAATATTATAGTCATTTTCCGTAAGTTAGGACCTACCTGCAGTTTTCACGCAACCATTCAAAGCTCAGCTTGACCTTAGGATTTGACACTTCCCTTTTGAATTCAAAGAACGAGTCAGTTACTGAAATCATTTCCTAAAAATAAAAGTACAGACATTATATTGATGTACGCATAATACACTCACCTAAAAAAACTGACACACATCTAATCTAAGTTTTAACCCATCCAAACAACCTTAACCAAACTTCTATAACAAGACCATCTGGATGACAATTAAATGGTAATAGACAAAACGATAGGAAAGAGTGGAAAACTATTCATTTTGTAAATAGAGAAGGAGATTAAATTAATGAGCAGGAAAACAGTATGTTAGGCTCTCAATAAACACTTTACCCAGGGGATAATTTAACTAGCGAAATAATGATGCATGTAATGACAAACAACAAATCCAAAACTCAAAAATATTTTCTTACCCCCGTCACAAGCATTAAAATGCAATGGAAAATAAAACGTGGGCAGGAGTTGATGAAATTCTTCCGACATGTTGAAGATAATTACCGAATATGTAGCTAAGTTAGACTGTTATCTCACCAAGTAAACACACCTTTGTCAAAGGGACATTTTGATTATCCCTGAAAGTAGTAGTTGCTAAATCATTTTTTAACAAAGGATATGAAACTACAGATAAATTAATAATATAATAGATCATCTATGATGAAACACTTTGCAATAACTATATTCACATCAGTTTGTTTTATAAAATGTTCAAAATGTTTTCAGTAGCTGAGGAGGTGATTTTGAATTTCCTGTACTTCCTTGAAACACGTAAAACTATTTGTCCCCAACTAACATGGATATATAAAAAACTAGCTGTGTAGCCTACCCGTTCTACGGACAGGGAACTTGTAGTCAGTTGAAACCTTCTCAGAACAGCAGTTGGTTTGCATATTTCGTGTGAATTTTTCCAGATATGCAGGCACAACTATTATAGGAATACACATAAACCTATGCAAATACAATATCTGACAGTTTCAAACCAAAACAAATACTTAGCAATTAAATGTCACCCGGATATAATTATTGTTAGTCTATATTTATATGTGATAGCTCAGTCTAATTGCAAGTGGCGCAAGATTGGTTTGCTTCCTATTTGGGAAGGTAACAGTGGCCTATTTTTGTGTTTTGTAGCAAAGTAGAACAGGAAAATCAACGACAACTTAATTGCAGACTTTGGGGCATCGCAACATATGTGTTTCCCGAGTGACTTCTTTCACACATATCAGAGCTTTGCCAATTAACCTCACTGTATGAAACGGTGAAGATATTGAGGCCATTGGAGAGGGAAGTATTCGAGTAACTAAGTATGAATATCAGTAAAAACCGATACATCACAGCTATAGAAAATGTATGATGTTCCCAAGCTAGGAAGGAACCTGATGTCAGTCCAGCACAACAATGAACAAAGATTTGGTTTCAACGTAACTAAAGAAAAATGTGTATCGTGAAGAATAACGTTGCTCAACTGTATGGACATTGTGTGTAAATGGACTCTATGAAATTGAAATTGATCATTCTGTTTGCAGAAGCTGAACCAGTGTTTAGTAGCAAACAGAAAGAAAACCATCCAAGATTGGTCTGAATCACTGGCTCATCAAAATAAGACACATGTGTTTAAGTATTAAAAGCAGGAGAATGTCAAGGTGGAGAATGAATTTGTGAAGGTTGTGTATTAAGGCAAGCAACACAGAGAAACCCACCATTCTCGGACTGTAAAGCCAAAAATGGTAGAAGAAATAGTGGATATCTATGTGGTCCTATAAATCCAGTCAATAAAGGGGTTGTAGAGGACATGGAGGGGGGGATTTTTTGTGGGAATGTGTTTGGGGTAGTTAGAAGATAAAAATACTAAAAGTCCCCGCCCCCCTAGCCCTGCTGCTTCAGCAAAGAGGGGGGGGGAAGACACCTTTTTTAGTTTTACTTCTACACTGAAAACTGTGCATCATACGGAAAAAATTAAACTATAAAAATAAAGATGTTAAAATTCTGTACAAAAAAGGTTATATTATTTCTCCTCCATCATTCATTTCTTCTTGCCTTAGTTTCCAAGATATTCTCAAATGGATATACTTAGAAATTCTTTCATAAATGGATTTGTCCACGCTTTTCGTCCAAAAAAGCAAAAGACTACTATGCAGTTCGTATGGTGGCACAGCATGTGACTAGTCCAACCATCAAAAACTTACACCAAGTCAAGAGAATTCTTTGTTACCTGCAAGGTTCTAAGGAATACCCTAAAAGCTTTTACAGTGTCCGAGGTTTTTTGGAATGGTGCTGGTAATAACCTGTAGGAAACAGTTTTACAACCTTATGAAGTAATGTATATTACTTTTATTTTGAAACGTCTAACGTTGATTGTATGGTTGATTTGGCTTAATAATAATGAGTTGTGAGTAACCTGTTAACCATTATGTGAATTTGTGACAGCACTTAAATTAGGTAAGGTAAAGTTTAAGTTATAATGAGCCAAGTTGATGGTTTATGCTACCTCCTGACTGTTTCTTGTACAATTAAAACACTGGAAAATAGAATTCCAAAATACCAAAAGCTACCTTCAGGCTGCTGGTGTTATTACAAAAAGTTACATATTTCAATTACAATGTTCATGTTAGTTAACAAAGTTAGGTTATGTTTGTTTGTTTTGTTATTGTTGTAAATTGTGATTGACATTGTGGCATTTTTGTTGCCGCGACCGTGGCCTTTAATTCAAGTAGCTATGAAAATCTAGTAATGCTTAGCATAGATTAAAAATTGCAAGCTAATGGGATTACCATTTACTGACGACACTTAGTCTATGACGACAACAATCACCATTAAGTACCAAATTGATAAAACTATTTAAGAAACGGTCCTTCTGGTAAAATATTTTCAGGTAAAAATGTTCGTCTGGAATCTGGACAAAAACCTTGATAGGTACAAATTTCTCATATAGGGAATAAGGCGTTACCTTTTGACTGTATTACCGTAAGTCTCATGGTAAGCCATAGACCAAGGTGGTAAGGGTAAGACCCAGGACCAATTTAATTTTTTAATGATGGAATGGCCTCTAGATCGTCTGAATTAACTAATATAGGTTTAAATCACCTGTTTTCTGTCAAAACGATCGTCTTGGTAGTATGATTACTACCAAGACGA